GCAATTTTTGACAGATAAGCCTACCATAAAAGCAAAGGTATGAAGAATCAAAACCACTCCCTGCTTTTTTAACATTCAAATCAATGTTTTTCAAACTTGGGGACTTTTCAGACTTGTGGACTTCAACTCCCAGGATTCTTTAGCCACCATACTGGCTGGGGAATTCTGAGAGTAGAAATCCATACATCTTAAAAGTGGCCGAGTTTGAAAAACATGAATTTAAATGAATTGTTTTCTGTTCTCCTTACTTCTTTTTTTTTTTTTAGAAAAAAAGTATCCAGAATTTAAATATAATATTTAAAAAAAACTGCTGCAAATTGCATCAAAGTATTTGTGCAATCTTAAGCTCATTAACATTGATATTTAAATTTTAATTAGCATTGCTTTTTTTCCCTTCCTTCCTTCCTTTTCCTTCCATCTCGACCATCCTTTCCTTCCCTTCTCTCTTCCTCTCCCTTCCTTTCCTCCCTTCCCTTCCCTCTCTCTTCCTTTCCATTCATCTTTCCTTTCCCTTCCTCCTTTCCTTTCCTTTCCTTTCCTTTCCTTTCCTTTCCTTTCCTTTCCTTTCCTTTCCTTTCCTTTCCTTTCCCTCCTTTAATGGTCCAAGGATTAGAGTGTTAATAATCTTTAATTAACACTGTATAAACACCATGTATACTAAGGGTCTTCAAACTTGGCAAGTTTAAGACTTGTGGACTTCAACTCCCAGAATTCCTGAGCTAACATGACTGGAGGAGGAATTCTGGGAGTTGAAGTCCACAAGTCTTAAACTTGCCAAGGTTGGAGATCCCTGATATACCAACATAGAATGCATTCTATAAGTCTCATAACACTAGAATAATTTAAAAAATATGAAAAAATGTGGTTTTTTTTTTTACTGTTAGTGCCTCTGCTTGAACAGAGGCAGGGGCAGTAAAAGTAAAAAAAAACAAAACCCAAACTTTTAAATATTTTTTGTAGAAAAACTCTTAAGTGTTTCTTAATATTTTCTGAAAGGATTAGCGAAAAACCTAAGGGAAAGACCTGGAAGATTTACACGAATGCAAAATTATTTTGATGGCACCAGACTACCGTTTGCCAGCCACAAATTCAGCTCAAAACTTTGGCGTCCAGAATGCTGGTCTCATACTTAAAATAATTAGACGGGTTTGATTCCAAAGAAGGATTCTGACAAAATAAAATATTTTTTGGCTTACCTCTTGGGCTTTATTTGGCATTCTGGTTTCACGTTCCAGCAGGTGCTTTGATTCAAGAGGAAAACTGGATAGAAATAAAGGGTTTTGCTTTCTATTAAAATTTATTGCCATGTGTTGTTCCCACATCATTATTTCTATCAGTAAAGCAGGAGTCTGGTAGCACTTTTTCAGACAAAAACCCATTTTATTAAAAGCTGTGAAAGTGCTTGCCTTTTAATCAAATTGATTAGGCTCATTAGAAATCTCTGTTTCTTGATAGTTACATAACATACAGTACCTTAGCTTACCTGTCTGCAATGAGAAACACACATTAAAAAAACCAGTAATGTTCTCTTAATTACATTTGGTGTCAAAGTTAAATAAATTGATCCTAATTATTTTGATAACCCTTTCATTGCAAAGAACAATTCTTCAAAGACTAGTTTTACCAATGACAAAACAGTAAAAGGGAAGGAATGGTAGCATATCATTTTATTGCAGTGCTCTCAATTTTAAAACATGCTTAAAGGCAGTCTGTAAAATTCAACATAATGGATCTTCTGGTGGAAGCAAGCAGGGCTGAATCCTGCCTGGCTCCACAGAAGCAATTTCGTTCCTTTAAAAGATAGTTTGGGAATTCTGAGAGCCCAGCTCTGCAAATATTTGTTTTTGTAATTTTTAAAATTTTTTATTTAAAGTACATCTTTCATTTAATGGTGTGTCATCTGGATACAAATATCTTGTGCAATAACAATTAAAATTTACTTCTATGTTCATTACTTTAGTATTCTTTATTCTTATCTTGTTCTTATTAATATACTTAATATCTCTATTACTATAGCACTCCTCTTCCTAATGTGTTTAATTCTATAAATCTATTTTCTATATTTCATTAATCTATTAGCTATTTCTCTCTTTCATATTTTTTTTCTCTAGCCATCGATAAAATAGTTCCCATATCTTATAATATTCAGTGCGTTCCTTCTCTTTAATTGCAAGTCTATTAAATCTATTCATTTCTGCACATTCTAATATTTTCCTAATCACATTTTCATCATTAGGAATCTCTTCGCTTTTCCAATTTTGAGTGAATACAATTTTAGCTGCAGTTAATACATGAATAATCAAATATACTTTCTCTTCACTGTAAGTTTCAGGAAATATTTCTAAAGGCAGTATTGTATTAAACGTGAGCCCCATTGCATCATTAAAATGCATCATTAAAATGGTAAAATAATAAATAAAATAATAAAAAGTACTTTTTTCATACAAGATCATCCAACTTTCTTTCTTACTTACCTGGTTTTTTTTTTAATCCAATAGTTGCTTTTCTTCTTCAGTTTCAAGTATTTTTAGGTCTCTGTGTAAAAGCTTTGAATAGCAATTAGAGAAAACTGATTTATGTCAAGACGGTTATTTGAATATATCCGAGTGTTGCTAGACACCAACTACAACAAAACTAATGTTAATTTTTAACGGCTTTAAGCTATTTGTTACCCATGACTGAATACATCTGAAAACTTTGTTAGTAACTGTTGTATATATAATACTACATTTTGCTCCAGTGAAGGAGAACACACATTTCAAAGGACGTCCAATGCATTCTTGAAAATGATCATTCCATTTTATATACAAACTGTACAAACAAGGTAACTTTTGATCTTATTTGGGTCTATGTTAGTAGAAATATTAAATTAGGGATGATCCCCTACTGTTTTCAAGTCACAATCCCTGAAATGGTTTCAATGTAAAAGCCAAGAATATTGCAGTTTTAAACTTTTTCTGCTTCTGTTATCGATATTCTAAAACCGTGATGGTGAAGCAATGGCATGCGTGCCACAGGTGTCACGCAGTCATTTGTGCGGGCACGCAAGCCCCGGCCAAACTTACCTGCACTGCGCATGCGTGCACCTCCCAGGTGATTTTCAGCCCATTTGAGGCTTTAGCCCTCCCGGAGGATGAGGAAAGCTTCTGCAGCCTCGGGAGGCCAAAAAAATGGGCCTTCCGGAAATACCAGAAGTGCCAAAACGGGCCTGTTTTTTTGGACTCCGAAGGCTGCAGAGGCTTCCCTCGAGCCTCCAGGAGGGCGAAAACAGCCTCAAATAGGCCAAAAATCAGCTGGGAGGTGCACGCGTGTGCAATGCGGGTAAGAGGGCAGGGCAGGGGTTGTTGAGCGTGCATGCGCAGGCGGGGCACATTGCATTGTGAGTGCCGGTACATGCCCATGCATGCTTTCAGCACACCACAACAAAAAGGTTCACCATCACTGTTCTAAAAGGGACACCAACTCTATTTTCAAAAGCCCCTGAAAGCACGGAAGCTAAGAATGGAAAAACCAAAGATTTGCCAGGAATATAATGTTGCTATTAAATGTTTTAATTGCACTAAGAAATCTTGTTGCACGAGAGGTGAAATAAGGCGGCAGAGGGTCACTTCGTTTGACTTTAGCTGGGAACGTGTGGTTGGGCGACTTGATCTCCACCATCCCTTGTTCTGCGCACTTCTGCAAATGACCGCGTAGGTGAAATTCACAAATATGGAATCTGGGAATAATGAGAATCGAACATACCACTAACGCTACAGTTTTAGAATTCATCTGTCGTTGTAGAAGAGCAGGCAATGCCTGGTGGAAGGAGTCAAGGGAGGACTTAGCCTAGAATCGTTACGTGTCCAAAAATGTTCCAAGCTCAACCACTCTTTAATTCTGTTAACTCTTTATCTAGCATCAGTTTAAGCGCTGGCCATTAGTTAGACTAGATATTTGTGTTCTGACCCAGCTGCCCAAACAAGTGGAACCCTCTGAAGTGAGCTCAGATATTCCTTTAATTAGGATGTAGGCAGCCCCGGCAAAAATGTTTCTCTCTCACCGCAGGGCTAACAAGTCTGTCCATTCAGGAGATGAATAGTTGTCTGCCACATCTATTCCTCTCCACCCCCGGCCTTTTATCCCCAGAGCTAGGGTGGGCTTTGCTAGGAGCGGCGGCTCTTCCATCCCAAGGAAGGATCGAGATGGAAGGAAGAAAGGAAAGAGAAAAGAAGGAAGAAAGGAAAGAGAAGGAAGGCTCAAGATCGAGGAGAAAGGGAAGGAAGGAAGAGAGGAAGGAAGGGAAAGAAGAAGAATGGAA